GTGCAATTGCCAGTGAAGGGTAAACCTTCAAGGAGGTTGCGGGCTCTCTCTGCACACACTTCAATAGCATAGGAACCGTCATTCCTGATATGATGCTCCCCATAATATGATCTCGCTTGCTTTAACTGATATGTTCCACAGCTAAATAAGATGAGAGCTCACTGTATGTCAGTCTTGGAAATAATATATTGATGATGTTTACATTTATATTTGAAAACTGTGATCGTCTTCTATTTAAATTATTTAGGATTACAAAATCAGCAATTGTATTATTCATATACAGTCTTTCGTTTACTATTGGTGAAACTTCTTTATCAACGCAGCACCCACCTTAAAATCTATGTTGGCCTGCTTGGACGCTAAGTTAAAAAATTAATGACAGAATATTTTTTTTATAGGATAAGAGTGACAAGCGAGCACACTGTCCACCTGATGGTAAGTGGTTGCTGTGGGCTATGACCCATAGACATCTACATCTATCCTCGTATGCGAATCAAAATGCAGATGCGTTGTCAGCCGTGAGGACTAAGATGGAATGCCTCGTTTCCAGTAAAAAGGGTCTCCGGTTCTCTACACTCCCCATACGAAACACAGCAGCGTTAAGCTGCTATTTTACGCTGGTATTCTGTGAGAGCGTGGTCCTTCCCCGGTCGAGCCGACCCATTCGTGCAACTACTATACAATTAATATAGCTGCAGCATGGCTCTACTACGTAATATTTTAAAAGAGTCCTTAAAAATGCCATTAACCGCTCCTACAACCCACCTACTGCTCTGGATATATTGGTTGCCAACGTTGATAGCTGAGTTTCACCTGCTTGTGAAGATGCAGGCATATTTACAGAATAATTACACTTTTCTAATAATTGTACACAGTCTCTAAAACCTCTATCCCGAATTCCATTTTAACATAATATTAGCATCAGATGTTGTCGCTGGATAGGGGCCTAATACATCAATAATGTATCCATCAGAGCATACCATTTAGAAATGGCTTCATTAGGTTGCTGTACTTGTGCAAGGAGTATGAATTTTTTGAAAAAGATAATTTGAACTCTTTTGAACATATCAATATGTATCATTAATTATAATAATTGATTTTCTGCCTTTTCCACCAAACAAACCGTTAGACAAACAGACAAAAGTTTTAAAAATGGTTATTCATGTCTTATAGCTTGCAAAATGACTGCCCGAGGTTTATAAAAGCCAGTTATTTCTATATAACAGAAAGACAGTTCAATTTTAATTATATGTACAGGCTATGATTTTTTGAACGAATCTTTAGTGGAAATTACTTTGACAAGCAGGAAGTGTCATTATCAAAGTAACTTGACACACACAACAAGTCACCGATTAATTTGCGGTTTTCGCCCTTGTCATTGATTTTGCAAAGGTTAAACCAAGGTGTGTGCTCGTCTGGTTTTACAGTGTGATGTAATTCTCGTCAAGTATGTAAGAATTTTTTTATTTTCATTCATTCATTCATTACGGCCTATCAAACTCCACTGCTGTACATAGACCACCCCAAAATATAGCCTCATAATTCATAATCATTTGCCATAGTTACCACGACTGGCAGCCGGGTTGGCAACCGAATTGTTCACTTATATTTAACTACTAGCTGTTCCCCGCGACTTCGACCGCGTGTAATTTAGGGTTTTAATTATTTTGCGTGGAACCCTAATTCTTTTTCTTAAATAAAAGTAGCCTAAATTACTCCTTATAACATCGGGTATCAGTCGATCAAAGTGCCGTTAAAATCGGCCCAGCCATTTCGAAGATTAGCCGGAACAAACAGACAGACAGAACGACAGACAGACAGACAAAATTTTTAAGTTTTGTTTTTGTTATAAGTATCGTATATACTTTCATTTGCATTTAGTAAAAAGCTGTTATTTTGGCATTACAAACACACACTTCAATTTTATTTATTTGTATAGATTACATGAATTATGTGCTTTGATTAGTAATATATTATGTAAGCTAAAAGGGTCCACCGGACCTTGTGGTCCTAAAGGAATACAAATTACGAGAAAAAGTTTACCTATTGTACTTACTTTTTTTTAATTGTACCTACCAATATTATTTTTACAGGTATTTGCAGGTTATGGTGCCTGAAGAGCTTGTAGAGCTTGAACTCAATGAGAATGACATCCATAAAATTTTGACAACGACTAAGTTTGACACTCAGACTTTTAATTTTATGGATGTCATAAATATTCAGTGTCAAAACGTCTACGTAAAAACGCCTTAATTAATACTACTTCAGCATACAAAATTTTATGGATTTTATTGTGTTCAAGCCCTACAAGCTCTTAAGTTTGAAAAACAAAGACAATGACGCCAGATGACGTTCAAGTGGTTTTAATGTTTCGCAACTTTTGTGAAGTGTTTCATTGATTACCATTCTGACTAAAAGTGTTTATTTATTTATAATCTTTATTTTTTGTTGCATTTTCTTTAAAAAAAAAAGGATATGAAAGGCGGACTCAATGCCTAAAAGCATTCTCTACCATTGAAACCAATGTATTTATAATTATCACTAAAGTACTATACAAAGTTACGATAACTATTAAAATGTAAATATAATAATTGTTTCTACCTTTATAGAGTTTAACAACCATAGGGTCAAATATGACCTCATCAAGAATTCCAAAAAAAATAGGTGGTAACCTTAAGGTCCTGAAACTAATGAAAAATTAAATCTCATTTTGCTGTCGTAATTTTTTTACATTCAGAAAAATATTTATTCTTTAAATTAAATATTTTTAAGATTCGTCATATAATTATCGCAAAAATTGTTAAAGCTATGAATTCCTTACCCTTTTTTGTTACACTCGTTCTCGCTCGCTCTTACTAGGGTGTGTCTATGCATGTTCCCTTCGCACCCTTTTTATTTATGCGTAGTCTATTCTCCCAATCGTGGCTCTTTCCTAAAGTGGTACTCGATAAGCTGATTTTTAAAACGGACGCAACGGATACGTTATCTCCGGTGTTGTCACCACTGCGCCGGAGACACGGTTTAAACGAGATCTTCTATGTATCGCATCCATTCTATTTCGCCGCTTCATTACTGTTAGACGGAAACAGTATTTCGTTAACGGAAGAGGGTTCGTGGTTTAATAACGATTTTTGTAACAGACTTATGCGTACGGTATGGACCATGTAGTCTATTATTCTCGTGCGTTGTGCGTGCTGCGTGTATCGATGCGTGCTCAGTTGCGTCCATAGCACGCCCCAGAATAGCCGCTGCCAGTGCCGTTCCCACTTCTCTGGACCAGTTTACTCTGCGAACTGTTATACATAAACGGTCACCCTAATTGTGTAATCGCAACTCGTGGCATCCTGGACTTGTTGCGGCCGGTACGCTCAAATTTATTTATTTCCTAATCTCATCTCATTAAGAAAATTTTAAGGTCAACTGGTCCCAGTGTTGCCATATATACAGATTTCTCCGTATTTATACAGATTTTCGGTGTGTAATACAGATTAGCACTGGATACAGATTTTTATACAGAGTTTTCTAACTCAACTGATTAAATTACCATAATATTCAACTTAAAACAGAATGAAGTAAAATATATGACTAGATACCGCGTAACACACGTCATTGCATAATTCTATTCTTTATAGTTATTTTTTTTTTCACTACGTAATTAGTAGTTTTGTGCCTGCTCAATCATTTTAAATATTGCTCCGTACTAGTTCATCACGGACAGTGAACTAGTTCGTTCTATTAGCTCTATTCGGTCATGAGCACTACTAAGCAGTTTAAACTGTATCTATCTGTAAAATCTGTATGGAATGGTTATCTCAGTCAGTGAGTCTCAATCTCCGTCGTTCAATATCTGCTCGAATCGTAATGTTGTATTATAACTCTTACATACACACTTGATAATTTCTTGGTCAAAATAAAAGTCTAAACCAAATTAGTGTTGAAAAAAATAATTAACGTATATTAAATGAAGTCCCATATCCATAACATGAAAAAATAAAAAGCATCCAAGGATGCAGTTCATATTAAAACAATAATAAAAGCACAAAAATACATGTCAAGAATTGTTATAACAGAAGTTCAATTTTATTATATTTTACGCGATAGCAAGTGTCGAAACGAAGTTTAGCAAATGTTTGTTTGTATCTATTTATTGAATATAATAAATAAAATAATTTGCAAGCACAACGAGTCTAGCATCTATCCGGATGATAAGCTAAATTAGACCTTATCGCATTAATATACCTAACAAGTATTTTTCTATGAAGTCTCATTTTAACGAATTTGATCAACGGTACCAAAATGGATAATTAAACCTTATCACGTTAGTATTTATCCCTTGTTTTTCAAAAGAAGCAATGATGATGATGATCAATAATTCTATTTTAGTTTATTTAATTATACAGATTTTATACAGATTTTAAGTTAAAATAGCATACAGATTTAATACAGATTTTAGCAGTTTCTACTACAGATAAAAGGTTCGGGGCGTCTGGCAACACTGACTGGTCCTTTATTCGTTCAGTATTCTACTGGAGCTCGTGTCGCGAACTCGTGTGTTTTGTTGTGTGTATGTGTGTGTGTGTATATGTTTTACTAAAAGTTAATGTGATTTTTTCGTTATCGTTGGACGGTTTACTTTGACATAAGATACGAGTGATAAGCGAAGTGTCGGACTAGATAAAAGCGGCTAATATTATTAGCATTCTATATGCCAGTGCAATCGTATATAGCATCTATTTAGTTTTTACAGTTTCACTATAACTTTCATTAATAAACATAGTGATCCGATTAGGAACCTATGTATACGTTATGACTGATGCGCCTGCGCCGGTGTAAGTGTAACGTTGAGCCTATTTTCGTAGTACGGAAATAAGAGCGGCAAAAGGAGCAAAAAGCTATGACTGCTTGAAAAACTTGAGGACGTTGTGTTGAGTGTATTTCTGTCTGTTGTGCGTCGATGTATACAACAGTTTGGTGATTCTGATTTTTTTCCTTCTAATAAAATGAAGAAACGGACGATATCCAAAATCAAATCACTATTTGGTTCTAAAAAAGGTCAGTATGTCAATTTCATTCTACATTGCTCTATGTTCTATGAAATTTCTGACAAAAACATATTATACTTATTTTAGGTATATTTTATAGACTCTGTTTATAAGTTTTCTCATTTTCATTTGCATGATTTTCTTTAACATTATAATCGTATTTTCAATTTATTAAAAGTATAAATAAAGATACTTTTATTCTGGTGTTTGAATGTTATTGTTACAATTACTAACTTTATATATTTTTTTTTAATTTTAACGTAACATTACTAAAAAGTTATTGTTTTACACATCTTTACTTTTCATAGTTTTTCTAAGAAGAATAAATATAACTTTTTCACTTTATGATTATTACTTTAGAATAGATAAAATATTCACTTCGATGTTTATTCAGGCTCGAATTTCGCGCGCAAGTCATATTTCACGTTCACATCGGAATGCTATTCAGTTGCATTTCTTCACGCAATGTGCAGCTGAGGCTGACAGTTTTTTCTTTCAAATAGCGCTCACCCTATCCGAGACACACAGCTGCTTAATATTTTAATATCAAGCTCCATTTGAAGTGATTTTAATAGGCCTATAAATTTATTTTTGGTGTACGGTGGATGTTTCCTATCGCGATAATTTTTCATCTTGTTTAATTTAACTTTCGTTAAAGTAACTTATCATAAAATATGAAATATAGCTAAAATGAAATGTTATGTGCTCTAACAAAATTAAAGGATGGAATCATTGACGTTTGTTTTTGTGTCCTTTATTTATAGGACTAATTTAAAAGCAGACGAACATCAGAAAAATCCTTTAAAGCGGGTACCTTATTTATGGGTTTGTCCAACTAGTTTTACTATTAGTTCTACTTCTATGAAAGAACATAATTTAACATGAAAAATTTTGTACAACCGACTTCAATATAAATTATTAAGAATCACTCAAAAACTATTGGTCAGACCTTGGTCAAATTTATATAGGACCACATGTGAAGCATAAGCTTTCAAATAAAAAAGAATCATCGTAATCGGTTCACCCAGTAAAAAGTTATGAGGTAACACACATAAAAAAACATACAGGCGAATTGAAATCCTTTTTGAAGTCTGTAGAAAATGGACAATTTTTCCAATTAGTTTTAACGCTCAGTATGTGCAAATGGATTTCAATCTTTCCTGTCGACTTCCAAAAACGAGACGGTACTCAATTCGACTGTATGTTGTGTGTTACCTCATAACTTTTTGATGATGATGAAGTTTAAAATCTTTTTTTTTATTTTTTTCTTTTGTCGCATATTGTTTAGCGATTTAACTTAAGATATATTTTCATTTAATGAAGATCCAAGACTTAAATCAGGAAAACTGATTTAACCGTATCGTGTTATGCTAATATCAATTTAGGCCCGGACAAGGTCAAGACGAGTATTGTCCATTCCAATCATTTTGTCTCCTGCCCTTGAATTAGTTAGCTCCTTCGGCGACAATTTAGTATGCCAACTGTGCTCTTTTAACTTACGAATATTTACTGTAGAATATACACACACAATCACAATTACCTACACTTCAGCACAATTCAACTGATAAGCGCGTGTGTGTCCCGAAGCGTTGTAATATCGGAAAACTTGCTGTTAACGCGTATTATTCTGCGTTCAGTGTTGAAGTAATTGCGCTGAAAGTTACATGTTTCTCCTGCCCCTGTAATGATGTATCGGTGAAAAAAGAAAAAAGTCTGAGAAATGTTATCTTGTTTTTGCATCACACGTAAAAGCGGTAAGCTCCCATTGTTTTAAATGATATATAATATAATACATATAATTAATCTGTGTACGGTACTTATTGCTTTCAAATAGCTATTAACATCGGGTTATCGGGGATAACTCTTAGAGTACGTAATAAGTTATCCGTTTATTCTTCAAAAAAATATTTTTAAGCTAAGCGATTTTAAATATTTTGGTATTACAATAAAGCAAAATGAACCTAAGTTTGCGTCATTCGGCTATTTAACAGTAGCAGTAGCAGTGTCAATATTTATTATAACACTGTGTGGTAGTAGTACTCACTTTCTTTACAAAAGCGTCATTTTTATGATTTCATAGTTATATTAGTAAATAGTGGTAAATAAAATAAGTTTTTTGTAAAATTTATTTATCATTATTATTTTTCTTATATTATTACGACTAGAAAAATCCTTTTAGGAGATAATTTTTTAAGTAAGTATTTTAAGCAATTACAATATAACAAAATGGATTTTTTTTTCTCTAATCAGTACTATTGCTCTCATCTTGCTGCATGAATAATTGCATCTCATCTTGCTGCAATTTTGAACGTGGTAGAGCCATGCTGCAGCTATATTATAGTTGTAGCACGAATGGGTCGGCTCGACCGGGGAAGGACCACGCTGTCACAGAATAACAGCGTAAAATAGTAGCTTAATGCTACTGTGTTTTGTATGGTGAGTGTAGAGAACCAGAACCGTTGTGTCCTGACGGCATAAAAGAAGGGTGTCTATTATAAAATGCCAGGAAGCCAGAAGAATCTCATGGTCTTGGTAAATGGCGTTATAAACTGGCGATGCACTGCTGTGACGGCACGGCAAAGGATTTTTAGGTGAAGGATCGTAGTTATAACTGTGACATTATAGTTGAAATCAATGATAGTAATCATTATATACAAAAAAAAACCTGCGGTTAGCTTATGGATGCCGTTTCAACAGCGTTCGGAATGTCATGACAGACAATAAATCTACTATTTTAAATACACACGTTCATTAGCTTGCTACGTTACAAATGTTTTGAAAAGCGCTAGATCGGCGTAAACAAGTTGTCGTGACGGTATGCTACCCAAGCCTAAGGACACTGGCCATATTATAGACACCGCGGCACGTATTGCCTATAGGACACCGCGGCATATTTACTTTCAGTTTATGCTTGCATGTCGGTATGCCCAAGAATCCTATGCAGTGCCGTAAAAACGACAGCGTTACGCGATACAGTCTTAGTTTTTTTTTTATAGGATAGTGTGACAAACGAGCGCAAAGTCCACCTGATGGTAAGTGGTTGCTATGACCCATAGACATCCACATCTATCCTCAATAAAGAATCGAAATGCAGATGCGTTGTCACCCGTGAGGACTAAGATCGAATGCCTCCTTTCCAGTAAAATGGGTTTCCGGTTCTCTATACGAAACACAGCAGCATTAAGCTGCTAATTTAAGCTGGTATTCTGGGAGAGCGTGGACCTTCCCCGGTCGAGCCGACCCATTCGTGCAACAACTATACCAGTAATATAGCTGAAGCATGGCTCTACTAAGTGTAAAACGTATGTTTTAAAGCTTACAATTTGCTACAAGTGTTTTCAAAGCATTGTTTTCTTGTACTCGTATCTAATCTAAGTCCCGTTTTGTAACTTCGCCTAGTTTACAACTTAACATAAACAAAAACGTAGTGTGGACTGTGCGTCCTAGTTTGGCACCACATAAGTAATCAGGGTTGTTGCCTTGGATAGCTCGTATATTTTTTATGATATTTACGTACAAAAAGTCTTAAATAAGTGAATAAATAAAAAAGCAACAATTTCAAATTTGTACTAAGTAGATGGTGATATAGGCGTGGTAGAGCTCAGGCTAAACTAAACACTCGCTGTAAATTTCACAGAACGCAACAGTATTAAGTGGCCTTCGGTGCTCGGTCGTGAAGGAAAACATCGTTAGGAAACGATGTCTAAAGTACTATTTCGGGGACATGTGAAGTCCGCCCGACTTATCACTCACTCCATAATCCTATCAGAAATTATGCGAGACTTGTGCTCAGTAGTGGGACGAATAGAGCTAGAATTTTACATTTTACTCTTAAGAGAAATCTATATCTATACAAATAAATAAAATTGAAGCGTCTGTTTGTAATGTCAGAATAACAGTTTTTTACTAAATGCATGAGAAAGTATATACGGTACTTACAACAAAAACACAATTTTTTAATTTTTTTCTGTCTGTTTGTTCCTGCTAATCTACGAAAGGGTTGGACCGATTTTGACGGGACTTTCACTGGCTGATAGCTGATGTTATAAGGAGTAACTTAGGTAACTTTTATATTTGAAAAAGAGTTAGGGTTCCGCGGAAAAAAAATAAAATCCATGAAATCCAATCGTAATAAAATACACGCTGGCGAAGTCGCGGAGAACAGCTAGTGAATATATAAAAATATTTATAAAGGCAAATAACGTTAATTTAATGTAAGATATTGCGTTTGCCATTTGCGTTATTTCATAAAATTCTCTCAACTATACGAAACTATTAAAAAGAAAAAAGTAAGCCATTTTTTATTCTAAAACCGTAGAACAGCCCTGTTATAAGAAAATACTTGGTCCTGTTTACTCGTGGGAATCGGACGAGCTCGTGATCTAAGTGTGTCCCTAGATTTATCAACCTCACGCGTCGTCACTGTTATTATTTATTATGTAATATTAATGTAAATTTTACTACACGTTTTTTATAAAACTCAAGTGGGGAGCGAACCAACAAACCACCTGAAGATAAGTAGCTACTGCAGCCCATGGACGCTTGCTGGTTGCTCACTTAAAACAAAGAAGGTTACAGATGCGTTGTTACTTTTGAGGAATAAGATGGAACGCCTCACATCCTGTAATTACTGCTTCTCTATACAATAACGAACTCATAATCGACGAAAGATATTCTATTTCCAGGGTATATGAATAATTGTGACGTGGTAAAGCCACACTGCAGTATATTAAGCAGTCATAATACGTTACAGTGTGCAGCACAAATGGAACGGCTCGAATGAGAATGAACCACGCCCGCACAAAATCTTAGCGTGAAATACCAGCATAACGTACCTTTTCTTCTGGTCACGTGACATTCCATCTAACTCCTTAGGAGTAACAATGCATCTGCTTTTGATCCTAAATCGACTATCAATATGTTCTGTGAGACACAGCATCCACTTCCCAGTAAATGGACTGTGTGCTCATTTTTCACCCTTACTTGCATTAAAAAAATATGCTAATACAC